AAGTTAATTAAAAAAAAATTAGTTGAGTATTTCATACTTACAATAGGTAAGTATAAAATACTCAACTAAATTTTTTTTACCACCATATTTTTTTTACCACCATCTAACTAGCTATCAATTTGGCACCATTAAAATTATGTAATTAGGATTGAAAAACTAAGGTAAACCTACTTATTTGCCTATTCAATTTCTAAAGTAAGCCTATGTGTTTTTGTAGTAGTCGTTACAATCCTCTCGTTTTGTATTAAACTATAACCAAAAGAGTAGCACCACAATAATAAAACTGGAGTAATAGCAATATTGGTACGTTGGCGTCTGACAGCGCCAGTAAAACGACGAGCTCGAAGAAAAGAAGCCGAGCGAGACGGGACGGAAAACGGTTGAAATCTCAGCGATGTGATGTGATCCCGTGAAATATGTCCGGGAAATGGCTGCCTGCGCCTTCTCTAGCTTTAATATTGTCCCGGTTCACGCGTTATGAGATAAACGTCGCCGTCGCCGAATTGAATTGTTCTCATATTGCATGTTTACTACAAAAATGTACATTACAGTATGTTACATTTAGGGATGTGCTATTATATTGAAATTGAATTTCATAACAGAGTGTATTTTATACTTTTATACTTCAACTTCTTATTATTATTATTTTTATACTTCCTAATATATTCTTAACCTTGCATTCTAAAGTTCCATACCTTGCTTCGGGTAACCATACTTATAGCATAAATGTGAAAGTGAGTTTGTTTGTTTGTTTGTTTGGTACGCTTTCAAACCTAAACTACTAAACCGATTTTAAAAATTATTTGACCAATGGAAATAACCGAAATAGTAAAAAGCGGAGCAAAAGCTAGTAGGCTATGCATATTTGCCACCATTAATAATAATACCTGGATACTCATTCAAATACGGTCGTCTGACGCCCAAATGTAAGTTTATTTCACTTGTACTCGATCGTCACGGCGCGTTCGTCGCTACGATAGGCCCGCACTGAATCACCACCAATCGCAACGCTAAACGCGCTCGTCGTCGAGAGCGTTTCAATGTGAAATAAACTTGCACTCAGTCCTTAGAAGATCCTAAACGAGCCCGTACTGTGTTTACCAGACTGCAGATAAACGGAGATACGAGTAAACCGCACGCAAACGGAAGAGAAGGTCGTGTTCATCACACATTAATAATCCTTTGCTGGAATTTAACCCATTTCCTCTCTCTCAGCAGTCAGAATCATTAACAACTACTCCAAAAGACTGGTATAAAAATATATTTAATTAATTTTCGGTAATCCGGTATATTTTTAATGGTCGATAGTTAAGATTGAAAGCTCACGGGCGTAAAACAAGCTCGTAGAGAAGCATGCAAAATATCTGTGCCATAATTATTGTAATAAACTGTTAATCAAATGCTCATTACAAAGTTAGCACGTCAAAATGTTCATTAAAATTTATAAATGTACAAATATGACACAAACTGTTTGAAGGAATTTCATTTCACCCCTCAACAGTGGGGGGTGATTCCTGAGAATGTTAATTGGGTGTTATTGGAATATTTACTTATAGGATAACTTTGCTTTATTAATGTTTTCTACTCAACACTTCAGGAAGCGAGTAAACTGTTTGAATTTTTAAGTTTAACAAACGAGAGGGGGGCAAACGAGAAAGCGGTTTACCAGAAGGCTAATTCTTGTAATAAAAGTTCGGTCAAAATTCAGTTCCTATCAACTCTCGATCTGAGAACTATAAAATAGAAGGTAACAAAAGGTAAAACTATATAAAAGGTAATTTCTGTGTAAAGTATTAAACATCCGACATTGACTGTAATGTGATTATATCGTATTGTGACCGAAAATTGAATCGGGAATCTGCTACTGTTAGTATTATTTGACTATTTTAGTACGAAAATACCTTTTATGACAGTTGTAATATCGAGAGTTGATCGAAATATAATTTTGACAGAACTTTTATCACGAGAATTTTTCTTCTGATGTAAGTGATTACCGCCGCCCATGGACACCTGCAACTAAAAGACACGAGAAGTTCAGTATTAAAGATGGAAGATGAGAAGCTCACGTAGGAACTTCGAAGCAAAATCACTGTATTTCTGTTAAAGTACTGTAAATAACTAAACCGTGATACAGACCAGATATAATAACTAAGGAAAGCAAACATATTAAAAACAAATGAATAAAAATTACAGACACAAGAAATACGCACAGTTGCTCTCATTTACATAAATGCAAAGATTATAAAAAAAACATTATTTTCGGACATCTGACACATAACGCCATCTAGTTTTAAGCTAAGCAGAACTTGTACTATGAAAGCTAGATTGACTGATAGAATGCTTGTATAGTTTTTTTTTTTGTAAATACATACATATTATACATAGAAAACACACAAACTCTATCTACTGATTTCTACGTCTTGCATACGTCCAAGAACTATCAGAAATGACAAGTAGCAAAGTCAAACTTTGCTATACTGACGAACAACTATGGCTTAACTGCTACGACAAATAATTGAATATAAGGATCCTACTTTATAAGTGAGAGAACTGCTCTTCGAAACCAAAGAGCAGAATCGACGGGAGTGACACCACGGCATCACAGAAAACCGGTGTTGAGCAATTCTTTCGTTGCTTTCCGGAGCCGAAACCCCTTCTGGTTTGGGTTCCCAACCTCATTCTTTGGTAAATCTTGAATTACATGCGTCTATGGGTTACGGTAGTTACTTACTAGACATGGAAATTATTGCTCGTTTTAAATCATATTCATTTGATGAAATGATAGGTTTTTGTCACTGTGATTTCATCTGTGATAAATCGCTACTTAGATTTGGTCATAGACAAAGATTAATGCCATCTAAATCAATCAAAGCGACCTTTTTTTTAGTTAGACCTTTCGCCTGTATGGCGCCAGCGTAATAATAATAATAAGTCACAGTGATGTTTTAGTTGAGTCACAGGTGTGATAAAATGAGTTATCCTTTGCCTATTACTTACCATTAGGTAACCGGTCTAATCGTTTCGACCTCCTATACTTTAAAAATTATTTTCCATCGATTTGATCTAGAGTCATGCTGCTATCATTGGGATGGAAATCATTTTCAAGAAGACTCTTCTTTGGGCATAGAATGGAGAATGTTGCATCCGTAATGTTACTGGAAAACCAAACTACCCCTCCCTGTAGGTTTTGGAGGAGGCGTCTCTAAAGCCGGCAAAGCACATGTCACTCTTGAGTTGATTGCAAAATGTCCTCTTTTCACCACTACAGAACCTTCATCATAACGTCTTTGGGAAACTTTTACGTTCAGCTTTTACGACCTTGGATTGGTGACCTTCAGATGTCAAAATTTGCGTAATTGAAGGTCATATCCGATTGTAATTTTTTTCTCTCTTTTTAATTCTGCGCTAAAAATATGCAATACCATATGAAAATTGCCCTTGACCCTTGAGATAACCTTCAAGGTTGCGAACATGGTCAATTTCAAGGACACCAATAGATAGCCAGGGAAAATTCCTGTAACTTTTGTGTTTAACGTATTTCCGAAAAGTGCATCCCTAGCGAATTATTCAAATGTTCCGGTACTTTTCTGACACTGTATAATAATAAAACCTAAGTAGTAATTGTTCTATCCAATAGGATTCTGTGCTCAGGACCTCTGCATGCGAAAACTAATTAAGTTATCCATACGCATTTTGATAGCAGTAAGTTTTAATTTTACAGTAGTGTATAATCTATACAACTTTATTATTTGCACTACTTCCTCACAAAAAACCGGTGTTAAGTGAGTGAGGTTAGAGGAGCTGCGGAAGTCCAATAATTTAATTACATAACTGCATGGATATTATTAGTAATTCATAAATTTTAAATTATTCTGAATTTGCTTGTTTTCATGTCTCAACTCCTAACAAAAACTCTCTATAACGAAAAAGAAATGCTCCGTCCCATCAACTTCGTTGTAAAAAGTTTGCACTGTTTTAAAAAAATAACAAAATATTTAGGTAACTACCGTCTAAAAGTTACACGAAACATATAGGTATATTGTTCAAGTTCCAATATCTAATCTCGCAAATTGCATGGACAATTATGCGCAAAGATAGGGTGGTGAGGTTATCGGCTGCAAACATATGCAGACGTGAGGGCGGCGACAGTCGGCACGCCATGATCGTCGAGAGGCGCGAGTAAATGGCCCGCGCCGAGCCTCCCCGACCAAACGACCGGCGACCGAACGAGCTAGCCGACGCGACGCGAAGGATCACGGACCGGACTCTCGAGCAGCGTACATACTTTGTGTTTCAGTTCCATTGCAAATTTTAAATATTTCTTTGCAAGTTCTATATTCAAATTTTGTTTTACAAATAAAAAGAAATATTTTTTTTACAAACAAAAAAAAAAACAGTAGAGTTTTGAATACAGATAATTATTTGCATTGTTGAAAAGGTAAATCAATCAAGATTTAATTTCTATTTTACTCTTGATCTTATTTTATATACTATGTGACCTTGTATGTCGCAGTTATAGAGTTTGTCCCCTCCTTTTTTTGTCGGTTAAAAATAATCAACTGTTTTATTTAAGGAAACTAGATACTATTTAATCAAGATGACTTTTCAGAAGTACCACATTCAATTTCACGACACTTTTTATTATTTATTTAGTTTACATTTTAGATATTCAGTTCGGATTTAAGTCGAATATAATAAGACCAAAGTAAGTTTCAGATCGATGAAAACAAATATAATTAGGTTGTAAAATACTTGTAAAATAGTGTGGTATCTACTAAATACTTCTGGGCTTGGTGGAAAAAATATAATAAAGTTAATCAAATTATTATTCGACTTGTTATTTTTGATATAATAAATTGCATACAATGTTATTTAGCAAACATGATACAAGAACATAAAAAATAAATACAAAGTTACTAAAGTTAAAATAAGGAAGTACTGATTATAATAAAATCAATTTAATACAATTTACATCTGCGGCTCACCGTAACACGTTCTCAATGGCTGAGGGAAATCTAAAATTCAATATCGCCGAAGATCGTAAGTGCTCCAATAGAAATGTGAATCATGTGACAATAGTTGGCGGGCAGTCACGGGTGGTCGACGTAGTGCGAACGAGCAGACGTCCGTCCGCCGGCGGCGGCTACAAATCTTCCGTTTCACTCGTGCCCAGCCTCCGAGCGGTGAGAAGAGGAAACAGCACGCTCCAAAGCACGCGGCTGCGTGATACCGGCTACTCCCGAAATAGACCCCCCGCGCGGGGTGCCGGCCCATCGACGTGCTTTTAGTATGCTGCGCGCATGCGAACCGCCCGCACCCTTCTGCGCTCCTGGTACTTAGAATACTACATTCGCGAAATTAAATAACAAATCGACTGACTTTAAAGTTATCGTGCTAAATAGCATGCTTTATATTTAAAATGGTCGCTATCCTGGCCAACCCCAAGTGGAGCGAGGACCTCACCATTCAGATGATAATCGAGTACGAGAAGCGCGAATACCTCTGGAACCCGGTGTCGGAGCACTACAAAAATAAGAAAATAAGAGAGCAAGGATACATTGAGATAATAAATGCGTTAAGTTTGGTCGACGTCACAGTTAAAGAATTGAAAAATAAAATAAAAAATATACGGTCGTCGTACAGCGTCGAATTGAAGAAGATTCGCGCGGCGAGGAAGGCTGGCGCGCATGCGTATCGTCCAAGCGTCACGTGGTTCGAACACGCAGACAGGTTTCTACGAGCGATCGTCACACCAAGCTCGGTGAGTTTATATTTTTGTTGTCTACGACGAGCGACGCCTGCATTGTTTACATGCGCTATAATGCTAAGTATAAAATGTTTGTTCAATAGGTGGACAACTCTTTGCTGGAGATACCGGTTAGCGACGACAGTGACGCGGTTCAGGACCTGAGCGAGCGTAAATCACCGGAAAAGAAAAGCCCGCGAAAGCGTCGCAGCTCAACACGTTCGTCCACTCCGTACGTGCTCAACACGCCATCCCCGCGTCCCGGGACCCCGTTCGGCTTGAATCAAGGGACGTTTGGGATACTCCCACCGGTTACGTCCGCTTCATTTCTCAATCCCCCTGTAGGGATCGCCACGCCGCTAACTACCTCACTTGCAACTATTTACCCGGTGCCCACGAAACAAAAAAAGAGCAGTTCCGATAGCGGGGATCACACGGATCTACCCCAGGATCTAAGTCAACATTCGGAGAATGGAAATGAGAACGAGTTCGAAATGTTTGGGAAATTAATTGCAAGTCAACTGCGTAAGTTGCCCCTGAGTTTGGCGTTAGACACGCAGCTTAAAATACAGACATTAGTCAACGCTGCACGCATTCAAGCGGTCTACCAGCAATATAGTTACGCTGGCCCATCTCAGGAAGCTCTGTCTGTTCAAGCTTTGTCCAACGGGATCCTTGCCAGTATGGCAACCCAGAGTTCATACGCCTCTCGTTCTTTGGGTTTGAGAAATGATTCCCCGGAAGACATGAACAGGGATTTAAAGACAGAGTATTCTTTGGGTTCAGAAACAGAAGACTAAGGTCCAACAGTAACTTTGACAGCTGTTTTTGCTCACATACAACCTAAAGTACCTCATTATTCTCTCCGTGCGAATTTTGCTCACAGATTTATTTATTATGTATGTTGTATTAAATCGCGTTCGACGCACAAAACGATCACTTCCCGGTGATTTGGGTAAAATATTAATGTCGTTATTTATACGTGTTTTAGATGGGGTATTATTGTGATCGATGTGTAGTAACTAATTCTAAAAGTTTTTCTAAAAATTAAAGACAAGTTTGAACTAGTCATTTCGGTTTGATGTAGATCTCGATGTTTCGGCTGTGTTAATTTATTTTTAAAAGATAACAAAAGTTACCATTTCGTACTTTTTTATAATATTTTAAGACTCTTTTATGTCATAGTAGTGTCCCTAAATGTTAAATGTTGCCAACATTACGAATTTATTTTTATTGTGATAGGTTTAAAATATTAGTAGATGTACCTATGTGTTATATTTATAACTTTTTAAATGTGATTATAAAATATAAATCATATAATTCCCATGTCCACTGCGGATACGGATAAAGTTATAAAAGTCTGAATTTTCAGATTTTTTAAAGCGTTATCCTGTTGTCTAAATTGATACTATTTAGATTTTACTACCCTTAAACTAGTGTTAATGCATGCTAATAATGTGAAATTGAATACCTCAAAATAGATACCAGTATCTTATAGTACGGTTTATAATTCGGAATATTATATGTCTGTTGTTCTATGTGCCACAATTAGATTGTAAACAGAATGTGATTTATTGACAAAATAAATATTTTATAAATGTCGTAACAACGTTGCCTTTTTTATATTAACCGACATTTCATTATCGTTTGACAAAGGGACTAAATTATAAAAATCTTTGTCATTACTACAATATACTGGACTGCTACACTATGACGGATGACGTTACTTATACAGAATAATTGGCTAGCTTAATTTGACAATATCCAACAAATTGTTGGCTTAACTACAGACTTAGCACCTTGTCGCTATACTTGCTAGTGCTTACCGTCATCTTCATTACTTGATCCACCAGCTCAACGCAGTCATTGTTGGGTCTAAGGTTCTAACCGAACAATGACAACAATCTAGTGAGCCAGCTTTTTTTTAGCTCTGACGATATTCTTGCATAAATTAAAATAACCTATGATCATTGCGTAGTACTCTAACCTATATCACAAACGAGACTATTGTAAGTACTAGCCAACGGCTATTTTAATCTATACATTTAAATACTTGCCCTGACTGACTGATTCGTCAAACGCAGAGCCTAAACCTCTTTGACAAACATGAAATTGTGGCACCTGATCCTTTTTTAATTTGTAAGTACCCGGTACGAAAGGTTTTGCAGAAAATTTCACCCCTAAGGGGTAAAATAAGGGATGAACGGCTGTATAGGAGTCCGTCATGTTCAAAGGTAGGGATACAAAATTAGAAATAACCGCGAGCGAGTCCTAGTCCTAGCCTAGAGGAGCGCTAGTCCTTTCTATGCTGGTAGACCGGTCCAAGTACCATTTTATTACTATGGACCCGCCCATCAACATACCTGCGACATGATACTTCAGTGTCACTTTATAATCTCACAGTGAATAATCCTTCTTCTGGTGAATAATCCCGCCTACTTGGTCGTGCCTGTTCAAATACTCGTCCTTAGCAAGACGAGAACAACCGGAATCGATCTGCCTGAGGGACTACCAGGTCGATGACACACTCGGTAATACCCGCCTGCATACTGAATTCGTTGAAACAGAAATCATTCACCAAACTTGATAGTTTTCTTTGATTTTCTAATTGGTTTAGTAGTGCATCCCTTGACTTGCGTGCTGTCATAGCAATTAATACTTACCGCTATATTTTATTTTCCAATACTACTAGAAACAGTATGAAGAAGAGACAGGAAAAAAATAACAACTTCTTCTTCTTTTTTGCTCTATTAAAGTTCTGACAATAAATACAATTTTACCCACCGCCAATTTTATCAGACTAAAACCGACTTTGAAAACGTGATTTTGAATCGTACAATTTCTATTGAAATTGTCCGATTTTGAAGCACACAACTTCCAACCGGATTATCTATAGCAAGCTGCAGAGCGCTCCGTCAATCCACAGAGTGCAGTTTCGTCTCGCTCCATTACAGTTTATTATTATTCGTAGCGATCACAGCCGCGCGTCACCGCGTCCCCCGCGTGATCAACCATTATCATGATAATACGTACAACGAACAACACGTGTAGATATACCTACTCATTGAGGGTACATTATTTATAAGGTATGTTTTGTTTGAGGTTTAGAAGTGACTGTCATTTTTCTATTTTTAGAGTCCCCTACGACCTGCCTTTACTGTAGAGTACAGATAGATTACATACTACTATTAAATAACAGGTAGGTATATATAAAGCTTTAAGAATAGAACTTACTCCCACTTCAAAGCAAGATAAGGCGCTATAGATACTCAGGAGTAGCAGACGTTCCTGGGCGGCGGTAGTCTCTTTTACCAGGTGACCCATCTGCTTCACTCGTTTGCTCATTTTTGCTATGCTAAATGCTAACAAAATACTGCGTGCTAAAATAGCGCTAGATTAGTGTATACTTACATAAAGTCCCCTTTATAACACGCTTTTATTACCTTGGTATGTATGTTTCTATATATTTATGTATGTATATATGTAACGGAATCTTCGAACGTGATTTTGACCCACTTCAAAACGTCGAATTAATTGAAACTGCACACTTGTCAACGACCGATGATAATGCAATAATTTAAATAGTTTGTCCCATTATCTTGATCAGGACCTTCGGGATGGTGGGGTGGTTTTCAAGGCATTTTATAATATAATAACATTACTTTTATCAGTATCTGTCAGTAATTTTTGTTACAACAATTAGCATCCGACGCTTTTTACGATAAAATGATTTTTCTTTTTGAACTTATAGAAAATTATTTCCTACTTTTTAGGTCGGGTTGCTAAAGCGTGTTTTTTTTAGTTTTTTTAAACCTAAATTTATTAAACGAATGTGTATTGTATGTATCTGATACAATGACTGGTCAAGGTATACTGGTCAACTAAATAAAACAAGACTGTCAAATGGTCAAAATGCCAGCCGACCGGCACCAGGCGATCTCTAAGTATTTATTAAGTTGGAAGATATCACTCAACGCCAATTCTTCTACACATTTACATCATAAATGTTGATGTTCATGAAACATCTACGACTGAAATGATAAAATCTCTATTCCCAACATGCAAATTGAGAGACACCCGGCAATACAAGTCCGGACACGTGACTTTTGGCCTCTGAAACAAATCCGATTATGAGGCTCCAAGATTTCGGCAAGTCGTGATTTGCAGTTGTTTGCCGGGTGCGAGACAAGTGTATATGTTAGAAAGAGGAAACGATGGGAGTACTAGTGGGGTCTCGGCTCAGGACCGGGACGAGTGTAGTGGACGGTAGCTTACGCTGCATGCGCTGACCGCGATCGAGTACTCCGCATTCATCGTTTTGATACTTGCTATATTTTAAATTATTTATTAAATAATTAATCATTCCTTTAAATAAAATTTCTAAGGTTATCGTTAGCTACAGATGCATTTTGTTGAACCCTTGATTTGGAAACCAATGGGTTTAAACAATACGGTAGGACCTTCGGTAAGACAAAGTCATACTACATACATTAAATTCCTTTTATAGAGAAACTAATAATTGTATTAAGTTTAACCGAATATATAAAACAGAATGCTAATACATATTACCTATTTACCGAATTAATACGTAAAACAATTAATTACCTATCCAAATATTATGAAACGTGTAACTTTAAGTAGTAAAATAATAAATAACGCGTATTAGCTATTTTTTTTATTTTTAATTATTTATTTCCTGTTATAAATATTATAATAATATAATCTTACGTAAGATTAGATAGTGTCTGAAGTCACCTAAATTTGGTGACGTAATGACATCTGTCATTACTTCGTGACATGTGACAAAATGTCATGCCAGTCCTTGATTTGATAGAGATATATTCCTACGCTATCCTATCCTTGGCCTTACTTTATACGTCCATTAATGTATACACATATTTAATAACTGGCAAAATGACTGGCGTAGATTAGTAGATTTGTGGACTAAACTGTTTTGCCACCATTTCTATTTATACGAAACTATGACTATCTGACCTCAAGAATCAAAGCGACAATCTGTTTAGATTGGTTAAGTTAATTTATTAGTATATGAAAGGTTGGCACAATATTCATGTATCACGGGACGCGGGCCAAGCGCCTAACACGCATTCTATAAATCACTCCCCTCTTTTCTTCACTACTTACACCAGTTTACACCGGGCTCTTTATAATAATTGTCGATGCGCGGTCGGCGGTCACGATAAGGGATTACGGCCTCTCCCTGTTTTAAAAGGGGGAGAGGGAGACTTCCCACCCCACTTTGCCCTGGTGGCTTTTTTCCCGCGCGCTTGCATTTTGCCACAGAAAGTGGAGTGAATATTGAATTATGAATTAAGATATGAAGCTAGTTCTCTCTAAGAAGGCGTTTTACGCTGCTCCTGGCGAAAGAAGGCACGTTTAAAAAGCTTGTTATGACAGTTTTCGGTACACCTTACCTCAGCTTAAGTGTTTCATACTTCGGGTTAATACTTGAACGAGACAAGCGTTTTAAGTACGTTCGGTTCAGTTTAAACACATTTTAAAGTTTTGTCCTTAGCTTGTGTATATAAAATTAGTTTTCCCATTGGCGCAATTGGCGTTGTTCGCGTAAAAGTTAGTTTTGGATCCCTTTCAAACTTTTTTCTGGATGAGAGATACGATGTCCTTTGTTATGTAATGTTCCTGGCCACTTGTATTTAACAGTACCCAAGCGCAATAAATAGGGACTCTATATGTATTGAGTCTAGTGCTTTAATAAATACATGCATATATTAATACAAAGTTGTGTAAAGAATTCAAATAGTTTGAGAAAATTGGTTGG